TCTACAAATGCAAATAATCATGACAACTCGCACTGAATTCAGACACTGATGTGCACTCAAATGACACAAGGGAACACATTTAGAGGCCCCATGAAATGCTCTGACGCGTTCTTCCCAAATACAAGGATTGTATTTACTATTTGACACCTCCCAAAAAAAATTAGAAGCAGTATGTTGACTGTAAAGACACCGGTGCTCATGTTTGCCGCTCTCTGGTGTCTGTCCGTTTACAACCACTAGATGGAGACACAGCTGCATGTTTGATTTGGAAACCACATGAGGCGAGGTGGATATGATCTCATCCCAAACAGAGTGCTATAAATAGCATGAGAGGAATGATACTGTAAATACTGTATATCAGCATTCAAACTGTGTTTATATTCTTATGAGCTTGATCCATCTGAGTGAGTGTGTTTGCAGTGTGATCAAATGAAAGTAGCGATGAGATAAAGCAATGTGTTCCTCCCTGTTTTTTTTTTTTTCCGTGGTGTCTGTGTTTGTGTGTGGCCGCCTTGTCCATGTGTGTTGTTGTCCCCTGCCGGGCTGAGCCTGGCAGTAGGCAGTGCTCATGAATCACACCTTATCGGGGTCCTCTACTGTCGGGAGGTGCAGTGACTCAAACGGCTTGGCTGAATAGTTCTTGAATCACCCCCTAGTTAAATCCTGCCCATATAGGCAGTGAGAGGGCGGCCGTGCTCGCTGGCGCGGCATGCTGCTTTAAAAGTCAGATCTGCCGATACACACTGTGCTCCTACATCTAAGCCAGGGCTCATTGGCACTGGAGGCAATTAAGTTCACCCATGCAAGTCAATTCAATTATGCATCTGTGATGAGCCCTGAAATACCACAGAGCAAGACGTATGGTGTGGCCTCACACTAGGCCACTTTGCTTTTGCTAACCCTCCCAAAAAATATAAGGTTGACTCTTGTTATTAAGGGAATATTGAAGTTTATATTCTCATCTGTAAAGCTCACAATAAGCAGAATTTTAATTCAACATTGCAGATCTGTTGTTTACTAAGATGTCAAAGGCTTTTTCTGCATAATGTATTTGATCCTACAACAGGAGGTTCATTCATTATAACTGCACTTTAACTCAACGAAGATCTTCATCTCGGTAGGAATCTCAACATCTTTGTTTTTATGTGTGCGGCGGAGGGAAAAAAAAAAAAAACTAAAAGTGAGCAAGCTGAGACTGAACAGCATGTAAAACTATTGGAGAGTGAACCAGCCAGGCTGTAATGGGAAAATAAATGGAGCATTCTGCTTTGCTGTCATTCTGGCTGTGCGTGTGTGTGTGTGTGTGTGCGGACACAAACACAATGAGTTCTCTGAGGAGCTGTAACTCAAAGGGATGCTGACTGAGCTGCAGGAGAGAAAAACAAAGAGTTGTTCCTGGGAAGATGGCCGCTCTGGCACTGGATCACAGCTCGCAGAGACGAAGCAGAGGGAGAGTGTGAGTATGTGTGTTTGTGTGTGTGTGTTAGCAATATTTAAAGTAGTGGAAATAGGGGTGTATATCCAAGTTTATACTCATAGAGGATTTCTTAACAGACAGTGGAATAACCTTGACGCAGTTGATGTTTGGAGTTCACCACATGAGTTATGTTAATATCAGGGATCACGTTTTGGGGCCTGAAACTGAGATCAGTCCTTTAATATTGTCCAATCAGATGCTCATAGTTACCTAAATGTTGAACAAATATTAGGGCTGCACTATGAGAAAAATATACAATATGTGATAACATTCTTGAATATCGCAAAATAAAAACACTACTTGCAATAGATATTAAGTGTACTGAGTTCTGTTGGTATACTGGTAAAATACAACAAATTCATTGTTTAATTAAAGAAATTAAAGGAAATAACTTCCTAGTTTTTTTTTTTTTACTGATTCTCTCTTTAAACTAACCCAAAAAATCCAGAGTGCAATATTGCAGTCTTTCACAATCTGTTAGCTCTGTTAAATATCTGGCACGTTGAAATAACAGCTGTAGCCCTCTGAATTTGGCCCACCTTTACTTTGTAATCAATTTGATAAGCTTTAATTTGTAATTATGATAAGGATGAAAGATTATCTGGAAGAATGACTACTGAAATCGACGTGACACAATCTGCTGGAGGGAAGAAGACAATATTGTTACAGAGTGATGCTTCTTTTACCTCATAAACAATCTTTGGCTGAGTAGAGTCAGTGAGCACACACACACACACACACACACACACTAGACAACAGCCAAGTTTTATTTTGTTCTCTTATCAAGATACGCAGTTTATATTGTGACACAAAATTGTAAACTGACTGTCAAATCCTGTCAAGTTTTCTGTGTATCATTGTTTAATTTAAAGGGGCAGTCCACCCATTTTACACGTCTATTAGTGTCTTCATCATGGGGAGATCTACTCAGCCTTTAAAAGAAATGTTTTCTCTGGCTCTGGACTGAGCTTTGTCAGGTCTGAGAAAATAACACAGATGACATCATAGTGATGTCATGAGGGTTATCTCTCAGCTGCTAGGCGACTGATTATTGCCTCACAACAAGAGGGTTCCTGATTCGAACCCAGGGTGGGGGTTCAAGTTTCCCTGGGTACTCCGGCTTCCTCCCACACTCCAAAGACATGCAGGCTACGTTAATTGGTTACTCTAAATTGGCCGTAGGTGTGAACACGTCTGTCTCTAAATGTCAGCCCTGCAGTAGTCTGGCGACCTGTCCAGGGTGTACTCCACCTCTTGCCCAGTGTCAGCTGGGACAGGCTCCAGCCCCCTGTGACCCCTAACAGGACAAGCAGGTATGGAAAATGATGCAATGAATGAATGTTTCCTGATAGGGTTCTCCTAGTCAGATCCACCTCTCGCTCCTCCACGGTACCAGTTTTTTTGCCGTAATGTAGTCACCTCTGGCTCCAAAAAAACAAGATGGCAACAACCGAAATCCTGCAATCGAGGCTTCAGAACAGCAGTCCACAAACCAGTGGGTGACGTCACGGTTGCTTCGTCCATTATTTTTACAGTCAGCGGCCATAAGTGATGACTGAGAGCAATAACTTATGTATGAAGAAGCATGTTTTTTTTTTTTTTTTTTTGTTAAGGAAAATCCTGCATGGTATATCGTTGATTTAATTTGAAGAATAAATAAATGCAACATGTCTATAAAATAAAGCTGTACTGCGTTATGGATATGCACTTATTCACCCATTCTTTTCTCTCTACAATACAATTAGACAAGCGTATAAGGCTACCAAAAACTAGACTACTAGCCATCCTTTAGCAGTCTCTCAAGGTGAAACGAAATGATGCTTTCAGGTGATCCCAAAATGCAGTGGCACGTCTGCTTATCAAGATGAAACGCTGACACCACATTGCTCCTGTTCGTTTTAGAATTCATTTCAAGATCCTGCTTTTATTTTGTAATCTCTTAATGGACTGGCTCCTGACTATTTATCTGATGTTGGTCAGATACATTCCCTCTAGGTCCTTAAGGTCCTCTAACTCTGCTCTACTAAATATCCCCCATAGTAAAACTAAAAAGTACGATGATGCTGCATTCCAGAGGTCAAACTCTGATTCAGGTGGCAGCTTCAAACCAAACCTTAAAAACGATGTTTTTAGATATGCATTTCTGCAGGGGTCATTGGGGGGGGAGCTGGAGTGACACGGGGAGAACATGCAACTCCACACAGAAGGGCTCCCCTAACACTGGGGTTCAAACCAGGAACCCTCTTGCTGTGAGGCAACAATGTTAACCACTGCATCATGGTGCTGATTTATTTAATCAATTGATATTCAAACCTAATTCCTATTTTGTGTGTGTGTGTGTGTGTGTGTGTCCTGTCTTTTATCTGTATTTTCTCATTTTATTATGTAAAGCACTGAATGAGTTGCACTTGCTGTATAAACTCTGCTATAAAAATAAAGTTATTATTGTTATTAAGTTATTAAATGTAAAATCTGGTGCTATTGAAGCTTGACCCAAACAAAGCACAAAGCATTTGGATTTCTCTGCCTCTGTATCTTAAATTTTGACCTTAAAAATTTTTAAATAATGTTTTATATTATCTATTTTATCAGCAGATCCTCTTTGACCTGAATAACACAATGTACAAAGCAGGTTCTGTTACACGAGCAGTGTGGGCGGCAGACCAAGGACTAGTACATTATGCAATTACATTATGCACACCTAATTGCATCACACATTATTTTTCACATCTCTCAGTAATTTATATTGTACTTATGTAATGCTTTTTCATAATACCGCTCTAGTCAGAAAAAAGGTGAGCCCTTGAATTAAAGGTATAAATAATATTTTGTTCTGTGTGTCATGGGGAGCAACTTATATAGAAATGACTCTGTCATTATATTCATAACTAGTCACGGAGGAGCTAAAAGCACCAACTGTGGTCTTGTAAAGGAACAAAAAGAAGCTATAAGTCATGTTAAAGCCATTCTTGTTTGCATGAGCTCTGCTGAGCGCTGCCACCAGAGGACAAGCTCCTGTGATTATGTGTTCAGTGCAGAGGCTTGCATATCTGAACTAATGTCATGCTCTGCCAGAGAGATATTACTCCATAATTTGATTCCAAGCCAGGATTGTATTAAAAAAACACCACAGGTCACAAATGTTTGAATAATTTCTCTAATCATGCAGAACTCTCATCATGAAACACAAGCGCGCACCAGTCCGCTGACAGCAGGTCCAACAGACGCACGACATGATGTGTACATGGAATATTATCTGTTGTGGCTGATGATGAGATGGTGACGGTTGGAATTGGTCAGGATAAGACAATTACTTCAAGGCCGTGAAAGTGACACCTCAAAGTGGGTCTTTAATCTTCATTTCAATGCCTAAAGGCCACGTGTCTGACAGAGTGGGACGTTATTGATCTGTGTGACTAATTTATTTACTTTCATCTCCATTTTCGTGGCCACACATGTTAGCAGGTTTGACATGCTGTTTGAACCTCCACTGACAGCAGTGTCCTTGTCATGCTCCCTTTAGGTCGATACCTGCGCCTGAAAATGTTCCGCGAGGATCATGGCTCCTGGATGACCATGTTCTTCAGCACCATCCTCTTCCTCTTCATCTTCTCACACATCTACAACCTTTTCCTGCTGATGGCTGGGAGCATGGAGTAAGCCATTCAATCTCTCTCTCTCTGCCTCTCTCTGCCCTTTTTCCCTCATTCTCCGCTTCCCATTTGTAAGAGCCACTGTACGCTCCCCTTTGGCTGGCGTGATTGATCTAAACGTCTCGCCTGAACAGAGACTCGATAGCAGTCTGATTAATCAGCCCCGACTTTAAATCACAGGTAGGAGCAGGCAAGGGGAGGGTGGTTAATCCTGAAAGATCACCTTCAGCACCCACACTTATTCTCCCATGATCTTGACTTATTTTTTGACTCCTCTCTGGCCAAAAACCAAGATGTTCTTGCCATGCCTCTTTCAGTTAATGCCTTGGTTTTTTGCTGCTGTTGCCCTAGCGCACCTGCTGAGAAACCGCTGCACACTGCAGAGCTTGACACCCACACATCAAGCTGGTGACAGGAATCCGTTTATGCATTTGCAATGTGTCCGTCTAGAGGAAGGAAAACATGCCCTTGAAGCCAGCCAGCCAGACACGAGGTCGCCGCGAGGTGATTTACCATTTTGTGTGTTTGGGCTGTAGAAAAAAAAAAAACTGTGTGGCAGGTGTCTATTCAGGTACAAGCTGTCAAGAGGGAGGCCAAGGCTGTAATGGGATCTGTCCTTACAGTGCTGCTTTTCCATATTAACAACAGGCGTCAACTACCCATAAGGTGCAGGCAGATGAAGGCTATTAGCTTGCAGGCAAGGTGTTGTGTTTTTCTATGGCCGGAGGGATGAGTTTGTATAATCAGCCCATCTGTCAATCCGGCCAGCGCTGTGACACGGGCATCCATCTTGTCCGTCCTCTCTGGTTGGTCGAGAAAAAGGAAGCGAGCGGCTGAGCGGAGAGGGGCAGGCCCGCTGAGACAATGAATGTTGCTTGCTCAGGAAAAAAAAGTTACATTTGCAGTCGAACCGAGTGCATCTGTCACAAAGAGGATTCCTTTTTACAGCCTCTCATTTCCGCCTTCAAATGTCGAGGAAAGGGGATCTTTTTCTGTCAGTGCATTTCTTTACTGTCAGGGGTGTTTCACCAGATGACATTCGGATGATACTGAAGGAAAAATAATGAGTTACTCAGACATTTTGAGAGACGTGATATATAATTTATAGAATGATGTATAATTTATATCCATCTAACATGTGCAAGTCACTCTGCTCATATTAGCCGCATCAGTTGTCCAGATATAAAAAGTAGCAGCCGTAACAGCCTTTTAGACGATTAAACTGGCTGACACAACACCAAAACCCGTCCATGATTATTTGGATGTATGCTGAGCAGCGACATGAGTTATTCAACGTTGTAGAGCTCCCCCTGCAAAGACAGATGGTGCTGTTGTAAAGCGAGTGAACCCTCAGCTGCCAAGACACCTGCACTTGTCCCGCACCCCTCCCCTCCTTGTCCCTCTTTCCCGCTTGTTTTCTTTCTGCTCCAGCAGTGTGTCCACCAAGGACCCGGGCCCTGCCAAAAACCATTAGTGTTCACATCTCTGTTCAAGACCGACATGTAAGAGCAATGTTCACACTCTGCCAGGATGCCCCTCGGAAGACGGTCTCCGGGCTGCGATAGCATGAATGCAGCAGAGTGAGCAAAAACGTGGCTGAGAAGGAGGATGGGAGTCAGGGAAGTGCTCCAGCCCTGATGATGCAGTGAAACTTAAGTCTTTTGATCTATGTCCAAACCCCATTTGCATCGCTCCCCCCTTCACTACTCCAACCTTCACCCCGCAGAGAGGCTGTTGTAGTTTTCTCTTTTGCCACGGCACAAAGGAAAAGTACAATATCCCTTTGTGGCTGCAGCTGCCCCTCTGTGGGAGTGAATGGTGTTTTTCCTTTTCATTTATACTGAAAGAACAAGTCGCTGTGAGGTATTATTACTGCCAAGGGTTTTTAAAGGGTAGGTATTTTGGCATGGGTTAGCTGGCTTTGACATCCAGCCATGCTGGTGCACTGCAGGGGATGCTCTTCTGGTGGCTAGACAGGGCGTCCCACACACACACAACCACATATTGTTCACGTCTCTCACCTCGCTCAACTTAGCTTGGACACGCATGTGGGAGAGAAAGTGTGCGTGTGAGTTTGTGTGGTGAGGCAGGAGAGGTGGGGGGGGTTGGCGTCTGTCTCCCTGCTGCCTCCCTGACCTGATGCTGTATGCTGCCCGTGCCCTTCGCTCATTAATATGCTTTAATTTTCTTTGACCTTTCAGTCGGTCTTGAGCTTGATTTAATTAAAAACCCGGGATACATCCACAAGGCAAAAAGATAAACTGCGCCACCAGGACTGTAAACAATCACCGATAAGAGATTGTATATCTTCGTGGATGACAAGTATTTATTCATGATGATTAGTCATGTAAAATGGATTCATCAAAGCCATTATCTCTCAGCTCAAAGAGATTTCCAGACTGTGCAATCTTAAACGTGTCCCAACAGTGCCAATATTTAAACAGCCACTTCCAGGTCAACAGCTATCAGCCTGTTACCTGGCTTATGTCATATCAGGGGGGGAATAAAAGACCATCCATTGTGGCGTCCTGGGAGCTGTAAGCCACACTTGTTACCAGACCCTCACATCTGGGCTATTTGCATTTTAATGTAACTGTCAGATTAGGAAGGGGCTGTTTGTGTGAAACCAAGGGAGTGTGACCGCCCAGGGAGTTTGATGGACTTCATGAATGTTTTGTCACGCCGCACAATCCCATTCCGCCATCTTACGGCGCCATTACCAGCCGAAATCAGCCCCTAATTAGATGGTGTTATTTAATTAAGACGGCCCAATGCGTGGCGTACACATTAATCACGACTAATTCAGAGTAAGGGGGTGGTAAAGTATGTGAAGGTGGAGGGAAGGAGGCGGCAGGGAGTTTGTGGGGGTATAATAGGGAGCTGGAGTGGGACAGTTAAGCTGTAAAATGACTTCTAAACTTCATCTGTATGTTAGCGAGTAAATGGATAGATGGATGGATGTCAGGGGTAAGCTGCGCAATGGAAGAGTGCAGCAAGGGGTGGAGGGAGGGTTGCAGCTGGTGGATATCTTTGATTGGGAGCAGGGGGGGGATGGATGTGGCATTTGACTACAGTGATACCCTGAGTGGGATTAGACCCCATCGTATGAGGGTATTTGTCTTTGTTTGCCGTGATCCTTTGTGATGCATGCATGCTAGTCCCCCTCGTCAGTCTGTTTGCTTGTCTGGCACTAAGCTGGGGTAATACCATGGACAAATGGATTTAGAGGGCTGAATAAATAACATGTTGTGGTATGTAGATGCCTCCTGTTGCATGCAATCACTCATGGGACTTGCTGCTGCTTACAGTACACCACCATATTTCTAACAATGGGTCCGATGATCTGGCCTTTACTTAAAGGGTAACGTTGGTGTTTTTCAACCTCGACCCTATGTTTTTGTGTCTTAAGTGACTAATGGAGACAACAACTTTTGATATTGGTCCAGTATTGAGCGAGGGGGCTGCAGCCAGAAGGGGCGAAACAGTGTAACCACTCAAGACATGTTGCTCTGTCAATTTACGACCACTTAAAGTGCTTTTTGGCACTAACAGGCTCAGGTTATTATTCTAAGTGTCCGACAACTTCACAGCAAGATAACTACAGAGAGAGACCTTTTTGTTTAAGAATAAAATCCTTTTTGTTTAGCCAGTAACAGCCTCAAAATTGCTAGTGTCAAACCCACCAGACTCCTTTTAAATAAACAGTAATTTTAGCGTGTCTAGAGCCAGCATATTTTCACATTTAACTGTGTCAGTTAAGGTTTTTTTAAACCAAACCAGAGCTGGTGATTGTTGGAATGGTGGAGAGACAAACTAATGAGTTTCATTTTGTTTCTCTTAACTTGGAATGAAGTGTATTTATGATTATAAAATTACTGGGGGTTTTTTTTGTTTTTTTTTTAAATGGAGTCTGGTGGGACTGGGGACAGCAGCTTCGGGGCTGTCTCTGGTTAAACAAAAAGGATCTTACTCTTTAAGGAAAAGGTCTGTCTTCGTAGAAATCCTTTCCGGAATGTTGTCAGACACTTACAACAACAATCTGAGCCTGTCAGTGGCAAAAACAGGCACTTTTAGCGCACGTACAGCGACGGTGCACAATTGCCCCTTCACGATACATTGCAGCCTTTCTCACCGCTACCTTCTGCAGCTGTCTCACTCAATACTAGACCATTTTCAAAAATTGTTGTCCTCATTAGTAACTTTGACACACATAAGTAGGAAAATAGAAGCCAGGTAAAAAAAAATACCAGTTACACTTTAATGCTGAAATGTATACCTAATAAGCTGCCTGTTAGATTTAGATCTAGATATACATAGAGATAGTTATAGTCAGTGTTTGGCAGTAACGCATTACTTATCAGTTAATATCAGTTTGGACTCTGTGTTCAGCGGACAGACTGGTTCAGGATGTGCTAGCATGGCGGAGGAGTTTGAGGTGTGACCAGACAAAATAATCGACAATTCTCTGTAGCAGAGTTTGGAAAGTTTCTCCGACCACAGTTCAGCGGCTGTTTCTGTGTAATGGGTTACTTTAATAACAGTTTATTTAAAAGAAACTGCATAACAGATACTAGATTTATTATTACTGGATATTGTGATTTATAAAAATGTAGTTTCGTCAACATATTTAAATTTTTTTAATATAATTTTGGCACATGTAGGATAACAAAAACAGCAGATAATTACTGTTTTTAATCAATTTCTCAACAATATAACTGTCAAATGAATCTATATTGAAATGAATCATTAGTTGCGGCTGTAAATAAAATAATCTGGAGAAATTTCCATGTTTAAATTAACTGTTGTACTTGTCATAATATTTGGAGCAACACCAAAATGCCGTGCGAGACATTGTCACAAACAGCTTCCCTATTCAGACTTGATATAAAAACCTGTTGCTGTTTGTAAATTGCAGTAAATGTCTCACAGTTTAGATTCATTGATCTTTGTTTGCCTTCCTCACTCTGCCACTCTCATACTTTCACACACCCACACCTACTTTC